ATGGATCCGTACTTCTATCACCACGATTTTGCACCTGGATTACAGTAACAGTCCTAGATCACTCCCTGGCCTCAAACTCCTTCCATAGTGAACGCTGCACTTTAAATAAAATCCGATCTTCATACCTTAAGCAGTATTTCCAAACTCTTCTTGTATGATTCCTTTCTCCTGTAAAAACTACACCCTCAACACACTGGCTGTCTTTCTTCCCTCAGGGCATCTGCATGTGCTTTTCCCTATGCCTGGAGGGATCTTCCCCTCCACCCAAGGCGTGCTTCTCCTCCAACCTTATGTCTCAGCTTAAGGCTTTCTCGGATCTCACTATCTGAGGTAGGTCCCTTTTGTTATAGTCTCTCAGCCTAGATTTATTTCCATCATAGCATTTATTAATCTTACAAGTATTTTATTTTCTACTTTTTAGTCTGTCTCCTCCAGACAAGTTCCATGATGAAGAAATTATATCTTTCACCCAACTTTCTCAGTACCTATCACTGGGATATAATTCTCTTATAAATATTTGAATGAAAATATAAAATTTAAAATTATGGAACTTCCATAGAATTGAGAATCCAGAAATAAACCAATACATTTAATTGACAAGGGAAAGAACAGTCTCTTCAATAAATGGTGCTGGGACAACTGGATCTCTACATGCCAAAGAATGAAGTTGTGCGCATACCTCATACCATCTACGAAAAACTCAAAATGGATCAACAACCTAAAGAAGAACTAAATGTAAGAACTAAAATCATAAAACTCTTACAAGAAAACATAGGGAAAAGCTTCAAGACTTGTTTTTGACAACTGGTTTTCTTAAATATGACACCAAAAGCAAGAGCAACACAAGAAAAAATAGATAAATTGGATTTCATCAAAATTAAAAACTTTTTAAAAACAAAAGGATCAAGAAAGTGAAGACACAGCCTACAGAATGGGAGAAAATATTTGGGAAACATACATCTGATAAGGGTTTAACGTTCAGAATATATAAAGAACTCCTACAAGTCAACAAAACAAAGACACACAACCCAATTAAAAAATGGGCAAAGAACCTGAACAGACATTTCTCTAAAGAAAATATACAAACAGCCAATAAACACATGAAAAGATTCTAAGCATCATTAGTCCTTAACCCACTGCCGTCAGTCGATTCCAACTCATTGTGACCCAACAGGACAGAGCAGAAGTGCCTAATAGGGTTTCCAAGGCTGTACTCTTTACGGAAGCACACTGCCACATCTTTCTCCCATGGTGTGGCTGGTGGGTTCGAACCTCTGAACCAGTTAGCAGCCAAACACTTAACTACTTCATCACCAGGGCTCCTTCATTAGTCATTAAACCCACTGCCATTGAGTTGATTCTGACTCATATGGAAATGCAAATCAAAACCACAAGGAAATACCATTTCACACCCACAAGGAGATACCACTTCACACCAGTAAAGTGTGAAGTGGAGGGACCACTCCCGAGAGAAGGACATCATGCTTGGTAGAGGGTCAGCAAAAAAGAAGAAGACACTCAACGGGATGCATCAGCACAGTGGCTGCAATAATGGGCTCAAACACAGCAACAACTGTGAACACGGCATGGGGCCGGGCAACATTTTGTTCTCTTATACACAGGGTTACTATGAGTCAGGATCGACTCATCAGCAACTAACAACAACAGGATGGCTTTCATCAGAAAAAAAAAAAGGAAAATAACAAGTGTGGGCCAGGATAACGAGAAATTGGAACCCTTCTGCATTGCTAATGAGAATGTAAAATGATGCAGCTGCTGCGGAAACCAGTTGAGCAGTTCCTCAAAAAGTTAAACACAAAATTACCATATGACCTAGCAATTCCACTCCTACGTACATACCCAAAAGACTTGAAAGAAGGGACTCAAACAGATAGTTGTACACCAATACTCACTGCAGTATTACTAACAATAGCCAAAAGGTGGAAACAACCCAAATGTCCATCAACAGATGAACAAACAAAATGTGGTATATACATACAATGGAATAGTATTCAGCCATAAAGAGAAACAAAGTTCTGATACATGCTATGGCATAAATGAACTTTAAAAACATGCTGAGCGAAAGGAAAGGACTCAGACAAAAAAGGACAAATATTATATGATCCCACTTATACCAAACCAAAATCAAACCCGTTGCCTTCGAGTGGATTCCGACTCACAGCGACCTGCCAGGACAGAGTAGAATTGCCCCACAGGGTTTCCAAAGAGAGGCTGGGGGATTTGAACTGCTGACCTTTTGGTCTTAACCACTGTGCCACTAGTGCTCCAATCCCACTTATAGGAACTGTCTAATACAAGCAAATGTATGGAGACAAAAGTCTATTAGTAGTTAACCAGGTGTTGGGGGTGGGGAGAGATGGGGAATTATTGCTTAAGGGGTACAGAGTTTCTGTTTAGGGGTAATGAAAATATTTTTGAAATGGATAGTGGTGATGGTTGCACAACATGTGAACGTAATTAATGTCACTGAATTGCATACTTAAAAATGGTTAAAAAGCAAGTTTTTTGTTATATATTATTTCACCACAATAAAATTTAAAAAAATTAAGGAAATGCCCAATAAAAAGAATCAGACTAGAACAAAACAAGCACCAGTCCTTAAATTCTGAGAAGACACTACAGATATACTTCAGCTCAGCAAAATAAACAAAAGAATGAACTATGAGCCAAGAGGCATGAAACTCTGGCTTTAAGAGCCCAACTTAAACAATTTAATTTCTTGTGTTTGGGGCGTGAAGCAACATTACCTTCAGTTTTGCATTTGGCCAAGGCTCTACCACCACTAGCTACTGGAATATAGGTGTGATTTTTCTGTAACAGGCTACTAACATGTCAAACCAAATCTCAAATGTCAAATCTAACATGTCAAATTTCAAGCTTGGCAGAGGGAATTCAAAGATTCAACATAACAAAGTAAATCTAGTCAGGACCTTCAGCGTGCATTGTGACTGACCTGAGATAACAGGGAAAATGAACACCTAAATTACGGCAACAGGCTGGGAATGGGAACACTGAGGGAGAAACAAAGCTGAACTGTAAGGAGGGGTGCTTGGCTCTGCAGGGTCAGGAAAAGGCCCCATTATATGTGAGGGGGCTAGAACAACAGGTAAGATTTCAACAGGGAAGCGTGGGGTGGAAGCAGGCATTCAATGAAGATCCAGCAGCCGGGCAAAGGTATACAAAGATATGAGTAGGGATGACAACCAGGGGACAAAGGAGCATACTAGTGAGGCTACACTAAAGGAAGGATGAGAGGGATTGTGTAAGCGAGGGAGACAGAATACATTTGGTATTTGGGAAGACAAACGTATGGAAAGCTTGGCCTCAGTCTTGTGGGGAGTGGAAGCCATTGCAGCATACTCGTTTTTCCCTCTAGAAGGGGATCACGCCATCAGCTCCCGCTTTTTGAAACATCTGCATTATAGTACCTGTCACCTCAACGTACGCACAACACCCTGCACATAGCATGGCTTAATAAATGCTTGAAATTAATTATATAGGAAAGTAATTTATTTATATTACAATCTCATTACAGTGAGTTCTAAGAGTCTGTTTAACCCCTTATATTGTAATCATATTGTACTCAAAGTTGAATGCAATTATCAGCATCTGCAGGACCTGGAGGTTTTCACCAATCAGATTCTTGGTGTCCTGGTCTTTGTTATACAGTATTTGAGTTCTAATCACTTTTTCCTGTTCCATTTAGTCCAGTAGCTAATCTTAAGGTATTATACTGTCATGGCTTTTTTATGTCTCTATCCCAGAGAACCAAAAATTTGGTTCCAGTCAGTGCTCCTTAATTAATTTTAATACCTTTTAATGTTTAAAGTTTATAGGTAAAATGTTACCTAGGTATGAAAAATCAGAAACATCTTATCCTGAAAAATCAACTCCAACACTCTGTCCTTTAAAAACAGATGTTTAAGAAATAAACTGGGCAGTGAAATACCTTTTACTTAAAAAATTCTAGACAATTTCTTCAGCTTATATTTGGCATACTTGAAATAAAAGAAACTTCTGAGTCTTAGGAAACCCGGTAAATACTTATTATGGCAAATTAAAGCGAACACTAAAATAAAACAATGCATTTTACTTGGAAGAGAGGATGCTTGATGCTCAGTGTCACTGTGGGTTCTTAACTTTAAAATAGATATTAAAATCATTAGTTAAAACATAAACTAATTTGAAATTGAACTAGGATAGAATAAAGACAAGTGCCATTCAAAAATCTCCCTTCGTAAGTAACACGTTAGCCTTATTCCACCTCGGGACTTAACCAAATTATCTCTAGCCTATTAATAGCCTAGCTTGAAAAAAATGTAAAATACATTTTCAAAAAAAAAAGGCCCTCGCTGAGACCAAAATATCTTTTACTTATTTATTTGGTAATTTAAAATACATTGTAAAATAGAAGATGTCTGGTCCACGTCACACTTAGCACCAGGTTATCAATATATACCCCTGATATTTCAATTTAAGGTTTTTGCTACTAAACGCTAAAGCGTTTTCATTTGTCAACTGTTCAAAGGTGGCAGTTCAGTTCTTAACCTGGAGTTCAGAGATCTGCAGAAAGCCCAAGAACCTTGAATAGTGTGCAAATGTGTGTACGTGCACTTTTCGGGAGGGGGGGTTATTACGGCTATCTTCAGATTCTCAAAGAATCTGTGGTCCAAAAAAAAGTTAAAAAAAAAAAAACCCAACAAAACCCCGTTTTAGTGTGATTGGCAAATAAAGTGACTAAAGGCAAAAAGCATACATTTTTAACTATGCCAACACCGTTAAACACATTTAAAACCCATGTTCTCATCCACAGTGACCCAGATCCTCACACAAGCCTTCTGTCTGGAATACATGCTGGAAAATAATTTGGTTCAGAATGGGGGACAGGGGTTCCAACCACCATCCCCCACACTCCCTGGCCCCAAGGGAATCAGCCTGTCCAATCTCCAACCTCATCCGCAAGCGGGAAGGGTTCGTACCTGGGCGCGGGCTCAATGAGGGTGGTCGTATCCAGGTAGTGAATCTTGTAGAACTCCAGCAGGGCCGGCAAGTGGTCAAACTCCTGGTCCCCGATCTTAAAGCGACGGTTGGGCAGCGAGTTGATGATGTAGTGGGAGACCCGCGAGTTCTCGGACACAGACAGCACGTAGTCCCCGGGGCAGGTGGAGGAGTCGCGGACTAGGAACATACCGTGGCGCTGGCCCTGGAGCCGGGTCTGCGCCTCCTGGCGAGACACCGGCCCCATGTACCAAGCGGAGCGATCCGAGGAGTCGAACCTGGCGGAGGACATGGTGTCGGGCCGGGGGCTCCGCGGCTGGTCGGGGTGGCGGCTGCTCTGGAAGCCTTTGCCTGGCAGATGGCTTCAGGGCCGAGGAAGGGCCTCAGTCAAACCTCGAGGCGCACTTAGAGGGCTAGGCTAGCACCTTCCTCGCGGCGCCGGGCTCGCAGCATTCTCCGCCACCGCCCGCCTGCTCCGGGGCCGCCTCACGTAGTGAGCCGGCCCGGGGAATGGGGAGCAGAGCCGAGAGACGTAGCGGACGAAGCCGAGACCCAGCGGAGGCCGCCCTGGGGGTCTCGGGCAGACCGGCGTACTGGGAGTGCCTCCAGTGACTCCCAGCCTAAAACGCGCCGGTGCCACACCCCCACAGCTGCGCACCCACCCTAGCCGCCACGCGAAGCACCGGACTCCAAGGAGGGTCGCGCCTCCGGGGCAGTTTTGCCCAGTCCGTTCCCAAGAGCCACAGCAACAAAATGGCGGACGCGGGAGAAGCTGTCCGCCACCCCCCACTCCGCTCAGCACGCTCTGTCTGCGCACGCGCAGCGCTCCGACTCCCAGCTGCTGCCGGACCCCTCCCCGTGACGTCACGAGGCGCAGCCAATCAGGAGCGCTGTCGCGGCGCTCGGGGCGTGCAGCGGCCACTCCCGCTCCCGCCTTCCGCGAGGAGGGGAAGGTGGCCGCGGCAGGCACTCCCTTCCTGGGCCGCGCTGCGCCGCAGGGGGCGCTGCCGTCTCAGGGTCGCCCTTCCCTCCGCGCTGGCAGGAAAACAGCTGGAGCCGAGAGGGAGCGGCGTTTCGGAAACCTGCTTCTGAGGAACAAAGAGTAAAGTGCGGAAGCTATGAGGAGAGATAGGCCGAATCTCCGGTTGGGGAGGCGTGGCGGTGAGGTGACCTGGCTGGCCGAGGGGCCCCGCACTGAGGGAGACCGACGGGCGGACGGGTCCCGATGGGCCGCGGTGACTCAGGAACGACGGTGGGCCGGCCGGCCTAGGTGACCCTGGGACTGAGATGGTCACCAGCTGGGTGAAGGGGTGGCCCAGGCCCGAGGTGGTAGTTAGATGACCCTACAGACACCGAGATGGGTGTGAAGGTTGGATTGACAGGTTGAAATGGTCTGGGAAGCCTGGAGGGCGTCTGGCCATCACCCGGTGAACTGCTGCAAGTACAACGCCAACGCCTTCTGATTCGGCCTGCTTCTCCTACTTAATCTCTGACCATTCCTCCTTGCTTACCCCACCCCAGCCGTGCCCTCCTAATCTATTTCCACCCCCGCTAGAATGTATGTCTTGAGAGAGCAGGTATCTTGTCTGTCTTGTTCACGTCTGGCCTAGAGTTGATGCTCAACTATTTGTTGACTAAATTGAGAAAGACCACCAAGCTACTGGTGTCCGATTATTGGTAGCACCACTCCTGGAACTGAACAGGCAAGAATGGGAAAAGCAGGCAGCGCGAGCCCATACCTAGATGCCTGTGCCAATGGAATTTTACTTGGCTGCTTGCATCCCCAGGTTAAACATATCCTAGATTGTAGGGTGATGAGTGGTGTTTGTCCTAGGGTAAGGAGAATGTCAAGGTCTAATGCCTTCTGTGACTCAGCATAAGTAAGTTTTCGTCTTCGTCAAATATGCTTGCAGGTTGTGTTAGTCCAAGGTACAATTTGAACAGCACAGAATTTGATTGCTTGGATTCAAATCCTGGCTCAGTCACTTGACTAGCTGGGTACCTTGGGTAAGTTACTTAATCATTTTGTGCCTCCATTTCATCTATAAAATGGGGATAATAATAGCACTTACCTCCTAGGTAGAAAGAAGAAAGTATGAAGGAATGCAAGTTAGTACATGTAAAGTGCTTAGAATAGTGTCTGGCACATATTAAGCATTATATAAGAATTTTCCATTATTATTATTCAGCATCTACCTGGGCTTCTCCCTCTGTAGCCTAAAACCATGTGCAGATCTCTGCATGGGTGAGTGAGGGTGGGGAGAAAAACCTCTGTTTGATTTTCTATTTACTTTTCACTGCCAGATTTTACCATTCATGGTCACCCACTCCTTGCCCAGGCTTCTTGATCTAGTTTCTACCTGTACTTTGACTGAAACTGGCTCTTCAAGGTCATCACTGATCTCCATTGAAACCATTATTCTTCTTGATCTCCTTGGCTGCATGTGTTTATATTGAAAATGTCTTTCTGGAAAGACTTCTTTTTTTTGTCTTCTGGGACACTAACATAGTTTTCTTCCTACCTCTCCAAATATACTTTTTCTGTCTCTTTCTATAACAGTTTTGTCTCCAGGTCCTGAGTGTAGAAGCTCAGTCTGTAACCTGTCTCTACAGATTCTCTTTTGGTAGGCTACTCATCATGAAGGCATTAGGGGTCACCTCCCTGTCAGTAACTCCAAAACACGTATGTTCTAAAAGTAGAACAAAAAGTGGCCACACCTTATGATTACTATGCAAACACTGTAATCACAGCCTAATACAATTCTTATCACATTCTATTGTAAATGTTTATAGGTATCAGTCCCTTCCTAATCTATAAGCATCTTGGAAACTAACTATGGCAGTATTTTTTGTATTCCCAGTGCCTAGCACAGTGCCCCACATGTAATACATACTTAATAAATTTTTTTTTTAATATATATGATAAAGTTGGGAAGAAGCCAGAGAAAAGCGAAAATTTATTTTAGTGAAGATAAGGAGATTGTATCCTTGTTTTCTATTACTAACATAATTTATTTAAAATACAAAGTGTGGCTCCATATCTCTGTCTGTTTTATCTTCCTTTTGTATTGAACTCTGCCTTTCAGCTTCCCCTTTTATGTCAGTAACACCACCGTTTTCCTAATTTACAGGCTCAAAATTTCAGTCATCTTTTACTTAACTGAAGAACTCAATAATGATACCTAATGTATACAGTGCTTTTCAATTCGCAAAACTTCATATTATCTTACTTAATCCAACCAAAGTCTTATGAAGTACCCTTTTACAGATGATCCGGAGGCCTGAAGAGGTTAAGTGACTTGCTTCAAGTTACATAATTTGCAAGAGGCAGAGCTGGCATTCTTTTTTTTAAAAAAAATATTTATTTTTAGTGGCAATATACACAACCAAATGCAACCATTCACAATTTGTACATGAACAGTTCAATGACATTGGTTACATTACATTGTGTCACCATTCTCACTATCTCTACCCATATTGTTTCATCACAATTTAGGCTGTCTACCCCCTAAAGTTCTCATCTCTGCTTTAGATTAACTGTTGCCTGTTTAAACTCACATAGATAATTCGTTAGAAGACACAATGCTCAAGGCAAACATTCTTTATTAATTGGGCTAAGCTGTTATTTAGTTTAACAATGACTTAATGGGATACTTTCAGTTCAAGGTTTAAAGATTATTTCCAGGCATTAGATTTGGGGGTTCCGGTCTCAGTGGATCCAGTAAGTCTGGTTTCCATATGAATTTGAAGGTCTGTTCCCTGCTTTTCCTCCTTTTGATATGGATCTGTTGGATGATCAAAATGTCTTGTAATGGTAGTTGGGCATCATCCATTTCTTCTGGTCTCATGGTAATAAAGGTAGTAGTTAAACCTGCAGACATTTCATTTGCCGATTCATGGGTTTTCTTCGTCGGCTGTTCCAAGCGAATAGAGACCAGTTGTATCTTGGGTGGCTGCGCACAAGCTTTTAAGACCTCAGGCACTACTCATCAAATGAGGAGGTAAAACAAAAACTCTAAAAACAATGTTGAGCCAATTGACTGGATAGACCTATGAAGCCATGACTCTAAATCTTTGAACCAAGGAAACTAATCCGATGAAGTATTTAGTTGTACCTAAGTATTATAGTATCAACAGGTGCAGCCTTTTTCTTTTGGCTGTTATAATTGTAAAATTATATACAATGCTTTATTTGCCATTTCACCTTTTTTTTTTTAACCTGGCATACAGCTTGATGGTAACAGTTACTTTAGTCTAGCTGTGTAACCACTACCCTTAGTCAGTGCCAATTTTCCAATCACCATAGACAAAAATTCACTACTTCCCAGTGAATGAGTCCCCCTTTGCCTCCCTGCCCCTGGTAACCACTAGTAATCATTGGTCTCTATGTAATTATTACCTTTTCTTGTCATTTCTTATAAGTGAGATCATACAATATTTGTCGTTTTGTGATTGAGACTTATTTCACTCAGCATAATGTCTTCAAGATTCATCCATATCGTAGCATATATCAGGACTTCGTTTTTCTTTAAAGCTGGGTAGTATTCCATTGTATGTATGTACCACATTTTGTTTATCCATTCATCTGTTGATGGACACTTGGATTGTTTCCACCTTTTTGCTATTGTAAATAACACTGCAATAAATATCAGTGTACATATGTCTGTTTGTGTCATTGCTTTTAGGTCTCTAGGGTATACACATAGGAGTGGAATTGCTGGGTCATATGGTAATTCTATTGTTAATTTTTGAGGAATTTCCATACTGTTTTCCCCAGTGATTACACCATTTTACATTCCTACCAGCAGTGGATAAGGGTTCCAATCTCCCCACATACTCACCGACATAGAGCCAGCATTCTTAAACCAGGTCTTTTGACTCAAGCCAAGGTCCCATTTCACTGTTACGATTTAGTCCATTTTCTTCGTTTTGCAGATAGGGAAACTGAGGCCATCCAAAGTAAATTCTAGCACCAGAAAGAAATATCAATCTTGGAATATGGAGGAGTGATTGGATTTCAAATGCTACCACTATTCTGCTACTAAGACACTATGCTCTTCTCTAAAAATTCCTCTTAAAGATGGACCAGAATACCTCCTTTTGCTTCAGAATAATGCAGTGGGGGAATAATACAGTGGGGACTAGGATGTTGTTGTTGTTAGCTGCTGTTGAGTCAGTCCCCAGCTCATGGCAACCCCATGCACAATGGGATGAAACACACCATTCCTAGGATTGCACCATTGTGAACCATAGGGTTTTTCACTGGCTGATTTTTGGAAGTAGGTTGCCAGGCCTTTCTTCCTAGAGGTCTTGGTCTAGAAGCTCCACTGAGACCTGCTCAGCATTATAGCAACACCCAAGCCTCCACTGACAGATGAGTGGTAGCTGCACGTTGAGGTGTGGATTGGCCAGGAATCGAACCAGGTCTCCCGCATGGAAGGTGAGAATCCTACCACTGAACCATCACTGACCCCGCAGGGAATAGGGTGCGGGGATAAAGATGAAACAAGATTGGCCATGTGTTGGTGTTTGTTGAAGCTGGGTGATGTGATATGTGCATGGGTTAATTACGTTATTCTTTTGTATATGTTTGGAATTACTCGTAATAAAATTTGTTTAAGTACTTTCCTTTTTCCTCATTAACACAGCTGAGACAAGCTTAAAAGTTTACTAAAAATGTTCCTAAATGTTGAGAAATAACAAAATGGAAATGCATGGAGAAATAACAAGGAAGCATTTAAAAAAAAGGGGGGGGGGGCTTCTACCTTAGCTTGCTTATTGCCAGAGTTTCCAGATA